CGAGGTGCAGACTAAGAAGAACTCTTGAAAGGCGTTACAGAGCCCCTTTCACTCCTGACGCCATTATCTTCGTTGGGGAAAAGAGAAGCGTACAGATTCAGACGGCACGATATTGACAGACTTACTGACTCAGTGACTGATCGAGAAGCCAATTGAAACAAGCGTAACAAACAAGCCCGACATCTAAGACAGGCTGCTGCCTCAAATTTCGCGCTGTCTCGTTTCCTCATGTCTTTCGCCTCCATTCCCTACGATACTCCAGACCCGTTGTTACTCGCTTCAAGATGCACTGGTTACTACTGATGCAACGTCAATGCAAGGTAAAGGAGGGGGGGGGGGGGGGTCGAGGCATTACTAGGGGGAGCGGGTTAAGTAACGAACACTCTACCGATTCGAAAGCGACAGCCAACATCAGAATGACATGGAGCGACTCTGACCGATGAACGCTCGGACGTCTCAACAGATAGAACACTGGACGCGACAAGAGAAAAAGTAGCGGTAATTGGTTCGCCCCGTTTGACCTGGTCCTGACTGCACTGAGTTCTCGTTACCGTCGCCGCCTCTCTGTGAGCGAGATGCGTTCCATAAATTTGCAATATACATAATTTACACACTGGACTGACCTCAAAAGCTAGCTGGTTTGCTAAAAGCGTTTGGGCTTGAATAGGGTGGGTGACGGTTGATAGACACTTGAGTAAGAAGACCTAGCGCGACACAGAGCTCACACAGCGGCTGAAAATCAAGGATCGAGCGAGAAAGCGGAAGAGGAAAAGACACGGAAGAACGACACAGCGCCTGACTTAACGTATCTTGAAAGAGGTTTAAAACAATGATGATGGGATCCAAGAAGTGCACTCCTGCTGCTGCTTTACTTCGCTTTACTTACATATGTTTCATTCTGAGCAATGGCAGACTTGAAAAAAGCGCCATGAAGTGTCGCAAGCAGCCAAAGGCGACAAGGTCGTAGTGCTAGTAGATCTACTTCAAACTGTTCATGTAGTCGGGCGGTGATTTCGACAATGGCAAGGAACGAGCAGCAGTTGATGCAATGGTAGCACTACCAGCAGGACCGAACTAATTTAATTTGTCGCTGACACAACAGAAGTCACTACATAAAAGGCACATGGGGGGGGGAAGGACGCTACGCTCAATTCACATGAAAGGTAAGGCAGTGAATGCGCTCTTTTATTTAATGTCTGCTTTAGGGCACAGGATTGGGCTAAAAGCTGAGCCGGCTGTCTGGCTATTGTGGAAATGGACGAATGTATTATACCTCGTAGTTGTACTACTAGAAGCATCAGCACTAGCATTGAATGGAAGTCGGCGTGACAACGAGGAGAGTAGCGTATTTGTCTCAAACACTGACAGACAGATCGGTAGCTGAAGAACTTAATCCGGCAAGTTGAGATGTATAATACATAGCTCCACCCGTTATGTCGACGTCTATTAGGGTATCTGCTATCTTGCTCTCACCAGAAGAAAACGTAGAATATCAATAGTAGCGAGCTTCATACCAAATGATTCACAAAGAAGAGGGAAATCCCCTTCAATGGTTCAATGATAACGTTCTGCCTCCAAACGTTCAAGGCCTATGAACTGCATGCTAGGTGCCAAGAAAAGACAATACTTATCGGGCTGCAGGGGAAGCCAGAAGCGATCATCTGATGTAGTGGCTAATGGCGGTTCCGGGCGAAAAACTCGAAAAATTTTTCGTAATCAATGCGAGAGGAGACAGCTGCAGTTGAGCTGCTATGGGGCAGATTGTTTCAAAGGGGGCAACGAGTGTTTTTCTGTGAACTAATATTCATTGACGTGTTACGTCCTGATTTAGTCCGCGATGTAGGAGCAAATGTCACAAGTGATGTGGTTTATTTAAAAATAATAATATCGAGGTTAATAGACGAGAAAGGAGAGAATCTATAAGAAAAACATATAAGGCGAAAAGGGTACGACGTCTTTGTCCGTGTCTACTATACTCAGAGATGCGTAATTTAATGTTATGCTTCATGATATGTTTAACATGTTCGTAGGGGCCAGATGGGTGATGCCATATGTTGCCATTTGTCGTATCTGAAAAGTATCTGCGAGTGTAAGCTCCGAATTGAGGCAAAGATCGAACATTTTGCATTGGTAACGTACGAAGTAAAAATGCAACATGGCGACCGTATACGTTGCTTATTGGGCCGTTGTGTTGATCGCGTTGTAAAATGTATACATCGAGGTTCTGCCACATGCGTATGCAGCGTTATGTAAGCACTCTTTGCATTACATAACCTCGATGAAGGGGAAATAAATGAATAGAAATACAAAGTATGTTTTTACAAATGCTATGCCGTCATATTTGTCACGTTCGTCAAATAGTTATTCCGCAACGGCTGTGTTTGTTCTTTCTTTTAGATATGCGTATGTATGTAGTCAATCAGTGAAGAATTCGCCAGACTCTAGATGTGAAAACTGGCAGATCCGTGTCTGATTCTGAACATATTGCTTCAAGATGTTGGGGACATGCTTCGAAGCCGCCCTCTATAGTCTGCCCTTTATATCAATTGCTGCCGACACATGCAACCATAGCGTTAACAGCGGCGATAACAACGGCAGCAGTCATCGCGACAGCAGTAGCGACAGAAACTACAACGATAGGAATAACTACACCTGCATCTTGGTGCTATCGTCTAACCTCCAAATCTCTCTCGATCGAGCAGAACCACTTACGGGCACCAATCTTTCATACTAGAATACATTATATATACTTTTATGCTACTAGTACGTAATGCATTAGCTTTCTATCAGGAGCCACTGTTTTAGTGCTTTCTTCACTTGCACATTTTCACCATAACGATCGATACCTTTTCTATATATCCCTATAGCAATTCTCGCACACTTGAATGAAGTCCCTGCAGTAATCCTAAATGAAAACGTTCAATCTAAATGGTCGCCCTCTAGGCGAACACACATTGCCCTATAGCTGCCTACACTGTCCTTGTCTGTAGACCAATGCGATCCACTACGATTAGTAGGGCACGACCGGAGTACATGCGCTGTTTACTATCACACACTATTACATATAGTAAATACTTAGTTACAAGTTAGCCTGAACTATTTAAGCATCATTAATTAAGGTCTCACTCGTGACGGCCTACAGTTAATATGCTACTATTAAGGCCATCCTTTTAGCGCTTAAGCTGCATCACACAACGGAACTGCCGAGGTTGTAATCCCTATGCAAACGCGAAAACAACGGAATCGCAATAGACCTAGAATCCAGATAGAATGACACTATAACGGTAGTTGAGTCGGCGCGGAATTACGATCTTACTGTCGTGCCATTGATGGACTATCACGTCTTAATACGTCGTCGCTCAACCTCTCTCCAGCGAACGGAGGTTACTGACTTGACCATTGCGATACAGCTGATGTCTTGTTTTAAAGACATCGTTGTTGTTGTTGTTGTTGTTGTTAGAACAAAACGCAGCGATGCTATAGGCTGAATTAACCAAATAACAATGTAGTATACGTTGTTAATATAACGGACCAATGAATGAACGTTAATGCGTGAATGAGGGAACGTTTTTCTAATAAGCGGCTGCTGTTCATTTGAGCGTATACGTATACGCTCACATACGCCAACTCGAAGCGGTCCAACAAAACAACTTCTGAATGGCGCTTCTCTAGCAGAAGAAAGACCTGCAGCAGGACAGACAGCGGAGTATATTCACATGCTCGAAATAAGATAACAACGCAGCAAAAAAAAACTTTGGCCTTTTTTCGGAACGAACATGATACAGATTCATTGTGGATCAGAATTAGCCTATGCTTCCTAAAGCTATTCGCTGGCTTATTTTGCTAGTTGGCCTTGTTTTTTAGGTGCCATAACACACCAACTCGCAAGTAGACACACATCTCCGTTACAGTCTCTGCGCAGCGTCTTGTAATTCGCACTCTATTCCTATTGCGGATTAGCACCTACTGTCCGCCTGCACTTAAACAAGTTACTGGCGTCAGGCCGCAACGTTTGTGCATCGCTTGACTGCCTGGCGCTCCGAAATACGTTTGGGTTTTTCCTACTCCTGCTGTGTACTTTCGTTTCTTTGACCCTAATAACCGATCTCACCCCTACACATATACCATCCCACCGTGCTGCCACAGCGTCTTCGTCGCTATTGCGGCCTGTAACTCCTTTTAAAGGACCAGCAGTTGCAAGCTGCATCCGTTTATTCTAAATCATTTTTATACTTTAATGGTAAAAAAAACCGGCAAAGGATCAGCAAGGCCGGTGGACGACCGACTTAGAAGGATTTGAAGAGGAGGTAGCAAAAAGGAGGAGGAGGAAAAGGGCATTGCAAGATGGAAACAAAGCGCCCCCTCATGGATATCCTCGACAATCTTGCTGAGAAGGAATCAAGTGTGGGCTAGAGCAGCGGAAGAGAAGTAGGGCATCCTGACAAAAGAGAAATGGAGGTTAGGGGATATTAGTGGGTGCAACGTAGGGGCTTAGAACCAGGCAATGCAGAAAGCAAGCGAGGTCTAGGAAAGGGCCCGGTCAAAAGCAGAGGGTAAGGGCAATTGTTGTGGGCGAGGGCAAGGGGGAGACAAAGTGATTGACGACAAGAAAGGGAAAATGAGAAAGAGAAACAATAAACAACACGCTAAATCCCTTTTTCCTGTTTGTACTGTTTTTATCGTGTTTTTTTTTACTGTGTTACTGCTGCATTTCAATTTGCTATTTGCGTTTCGTACTACATGCAGTGTGGCTATAAAGTTGTAGTTGCAGTTCTATTGTTGCGAACACCTATCTAAAGGTAGATCGATACGGATATCACGGCATGAGTGCGTTTTTCGTACTGCGTAAGGCAACGCGGAGGGTGTATATCGACTGTTCTGGCTATAGCTGAGGCAGTGACGAGCCTGACATCATAGATCAGCTTCGAATAAGCCAGGCGTTCAAATATAGGTGTCTGCTCGAAAATATTTTTCTTTCTGGTAAACAAAGAACTCGGATGGTGAGGGGGTCTACAAAAAATGTCGAAGGAGCACACGTTTGATGAGTGCGTGGCCGAGCGCCCACCGCACAGCTTTCGCAGCAGTGTCCAGAGAAACTTCAGAGCTGGAAATTGTGACGTATTCTGGATACAACGCCAACTAAGAGAGATGTGGTAAAAATCAACTGTATACCTGAAGAATACTGTTAATTGACTGTGAATGCTTTAGAATTCGCTATCTGAAACGTTAAGGAAATCAGTTAAATAGTTTTACGATTCTTCTGATGATGAGGTCAAATAATGCCTACCGGTTTATGACGATCTCTTGAGGAGGGGAATCGTGTTTCGCTGAACAAGCGTATTTTATCCTAACGATGAAATACGGCCAACAAGGCCCTAAGTATCTGGGACAGTTCACGCTGAATGATCTATCCATAATCCGCTCTTTTCAGCTGCCAATCCAACACGACGTTTAGATTCAGTCCTTCTAAATATAGTTATTCTAATTCTAACAACAAAAACGTAGACAGAGATCGGCTATAAGATGTCTCGTTTACAACAGGCCCTATTGCTGGTTCATTTACTATTGGCGACTTTGACTGCCCAATAAAATCGTTTAGTTTCTTTCGAAGTTGGTGTACCTCAATAGTCATCATGCTGATGTAGTCTCAATTGGAAAAATACATTATAGAGTATTAGTCTCACACGGTTCACACGACTGTTTCTCTCTCGGCTCCGCTGAGATTTTTTGGCTCATTCCAGTATCAATTCAATTAAAATAGCTTGCAGAGTTGAATAAAATGTACATATTTAGCTAGAAGACTATCCGGTTAGAGTAATTAGATAAGACGCTAAAGGTCTGTGAGATAAAACCTACGGCTGGATTAAGTTCGAATCACCGATACGACGATGCAATTGGGAAAAATATAATAGCGGCGTGAGGACGCTGAACGAGTAGCTACGCGCTTTTTGCCACTTGATTCAGGTTTCATTAATGACAACGGACAGATACAGGATCTCGATAGACACAGTGGCCAACACGACCTAAATTGCTTAGCAACGTCTCAAATTGGATCGCGTCGTATTGCTCCAGCTACCTGCTTATTACGATTTTAGTTACGCATTATAATTTTAGAAAAAAAAAAGAAGGTCGCCCCAAGTCAAAACGGGAAGGGCGAAGCGAGAGTGACAATACGGTTTGTTTTCCGGGGCTGCTTGCAGAGGATCAATTTAACGTTATGGGATCCGCTTGAATCAAACGAGTCAGAGAAACAGAGTGAAATAGGTAAGCAACGCGAGCGGACACGGGGATAGGCATTCGGGCTGTCACTGGTTACGTCAAGCTATTTATCATCTGCTGTAGGAAGTGTTGTATAGTTTCGGATATGGTCGTTTTGTGAACAGTGTTTCATCGATCGGTGACGCTGCCATCTGTGCAAATAATAGAAAACTCGTATAGATTAGAGTTTGATGAATACGACGCTAATGAATATTGTGACAAACTGACCTAAACTTTAGTCTGTCAATTAAAATTTCCAATATTATCGCTCTCTGCACCAGCACAACCTGGGTAAATGAAAAAGTCGCTATTATTTTTATATTTTCGCGTCTTTCAGATGGGCTTAAGCGAACGAATTGCGTTCTGTTCAGCGGATGTGAACGCTATACACACCCATAGGCACTAATGGCGTCCGTCTCGAACATTGCCATCCAAGGTACGGACGTGTAGGTTTGATGAAAAAATAGTAGATAAGAGTCGCAGTTTCTATTAGATTGACTATATAATTCTCTTAGACGCGTCAAAAAGCTGCCACTGTAATATCTATTCTGTTCTAAAACGGAATCACACAATGGAACTTATCCTAGATAGCAGTGCCTACAACAATGGCGTCGTCAGATGTCGCGTAGGGGATTCGATTGACTGTTCGTTCGGCCGTTGGGGTGGGCTGCCCCATTCCGTTACGGCTGGCGCGGCACCCCGACAACTAGTCAGTCGCTCGGCCTGTGCAGGACGCCATGCAGCTAAATTGGCGGCTGATTATTAGCGAGTTTCGCACGCGACCATTGCCTGTCGCTTTGGCCTGTCCTTCCTAGATTGGCTGGCCACCTTGAAGTGAACTCAGCCCAAACTTGGCCACTTAGTGTACAAACTTAGCAGACACAGGTATGAAAAAGGCTGTGAATTCTACTCGCAAGCCACTCATATCGCCGCTGTAGGAACCGGCCGGCGGTGTGGGCGGTCAGTGCATATACAGTTCATAGGGAGCTGCACATACGCAAGACGTAGTTGAATCACGTATTTGGATGTCGACGCGTAAAAGATGAAGTTGCGTCGGACGGCACACGTGAGAATTTACCCTTAAGAATCCCTATATTCCAACGCTGTAAATTACGACGCCTTATCACGGTCGCCGCCGCAGCAACGAACCTATATCGGTCATTCCGAGAGTAAGCCACGTCCCGGTCCGCAGCAGCAGAGGTAGTAACCATGAACGGTAGTAAGTTGCCAGCCCTTTAAAGCAATATCTAACAATTGCTAGTGATAATATTGTACGTAAAACCCGAAACATTTGTCTGGTGCTTCCATTATGGATACTGTTGGAGAATACGCGGTTGATCTATAAAATTGTTCGCGATGTTTTACAGCTCTGGTACACTGTGGCTAATTCGTTTATTTACGTCTCTGCCAATGATTTATTAACATGTACGCATATATAAACCAACAGTCCTGCGTATGTCACTTCGAGCGCTCACGACGATTCGTTGGTGGCAGAGTGACCGGGTAGGAAATTCTAAAAATGCGGTACCAACTCTATTGTGTCGGCGGTCAACGATTATACCAGCGCGTACATGTTACTCGACGCCATACACTGCTGTGAGATCTCGTACAAGGCGGCTTGAAGGCGCAAATGCCGCAAGTAGCAAACGCGCTACAATTTTATGTATGCCCAGTTGGAATGGCCTCTGTTTACATTATTGGGAACAACCGCTATCTAGAGTAGTAAAAAACGAGAAACTAGACTTAGTTAGTATTTTCCACTTGAAATTGATTATTCAAAGGGTTCACAATTGTAAAAATAGAAAAGCCTATGGAAATTCGCTGATTTTGTTCGCTTGAATGTTACAATATCTCGACTGCAGTTTCTCGGCCTCATCGATCAGCGATGCGGAAGGACGTCGAGATCAGGCCTTTTCCAGATGTCTGCGTTGTCTTTAGACACACAACTACAATAAGCATAATTCTTAAATCACAGACCACTTGACCACGGAACCGCGACGCACTTCTATTTGCATTTGGTTTAAACTGAAACACGTTATGCGGTAATCAGCTGTTAGCTTTTGGGCTCTGAACCCCTTCGTAGATATACCTCTGCATGGTGAGTAAGTTTAAATAATAGTATCGCCTGTTATAACCGACGTAATAGAACCCCAAGTCGTTTTTGGACCAGCCCTGCGATTGGTCTTTCCTTCCACCTCTTCTGTATATTGACGTACGGACACACGCAGACTCGACTCGAGCAATGAACCCCTTCAGCACATGATCCTATACAATATGAAGCAGGCTATCGAATCCGAGTACCTATATGTCGATGTGATCATTAGTTCGACGCTGTAGATCGCATGTCCTCGAAGTTGTTGCCATAATTGTGGCAGCAATAGCGGATAGCGTGGCTTGTCGTGATAGCGCTTCAGCGGCCATTGCTACGGTTCGAGGCAACGAATGCTGATTCCAGATCTGCAATCCCGTAAGGACAGGATGTTTCTGTTGCGACTCGTAATCTGGGTTCATGTAATTGTTGCTGCTGCAGACGGCAGCGCTATTGTTAATGTTGTTGTTTCTACTCGAGCGTTGGCGGGGCTGGGCGACTGGAAAATCGCTAGAGGAATGGATGCGCTGCTACAACAACGGTCGCTATTCGATCGCCCACCGAATAGCTCAACACAACGCGGCAGAAGCATGTATCTAGCCGGTCATCGCTGCGCTAGACCCTACACAGCAATGCTTTTTACTATAGCGGCACCAACAACACCGCCACTATTATTGTTATATCATCGTCGTCGTCGTCGTCGCAGTTGTTATTAGCGGCCATAGGGATTTGGGAAAGATGATAAATTATGAGTGCAATAATTTAATAGGAGCATGCCGTCACTGGCAGATCGTCATCGGTCGTCGTCCAAGCATTAGTGGGTGCCCAGGCGTGAGTCCATATTCGAAGATTTGTTGCAGCTCTGCATTGATGTCGATGGAACAGCGGAGCGAACCGGCGTCGACCGGACCGAAGCAGCAGATCTTCGATGTCGTCGTTAGATAATCGACAACCAACAGCAACGCTTGCGGTAGTGCCAGCAATAAGCTGTAGTGGCAGTGGTGCCGGCGACTGCCTTCGCTAGCTGGCGATGATCGTTTTGCTCAACGGGATCGATCACATCCGCCCGAAAGGAACGATGCTGTTGATGATGGCATCGACGAAGACGATGCTAATGCTGCTGCTAGTGGTGATACGGTCGGACGCTTCGTCGCCTGCGAGAAAAGGAAGATAATGAAGACACCGCCAGCATCGGCAACATCGTCTCTCCAGGAACGTCTTGCTGACTACAGCCTGCCTAGACTTCGCGTCGACACGGCAACAGCACAGCGACCGCATATCAGCCGACGACAACAATAGCAACACTGTTGTCTGCAAGGCGAGAGCGACGTCGACAGCGCCACGGCGACGACGACCCCAGCAGCGGCGTGGCGACGGTCACGGTGACAGTAGTTATGTAGGTGTTGACGTAAGCTGTAAATGCAGCCGAATCGAAGCACAGGAAGCATGCACAAGACCATAGGAATCAGGATTAGACATTGAGCCAGCAAGCCACAACAATCAGAACGCTTCAACAGCATAACCACAACGTACTCGCGACGGCCATAGCATAATGACGACAACAACATCATTAGCGACCTTCGATAACGAATGCACCTCATTTGATTTGAAGGCTTTATCATAACATATCTGAAGACGAAGAGTATTGAACAGGACATTTATTGGGAACGATGTGCTCGTCCAATATCAATCGTTCGAATCTGTGTATTGATCAATATGCACAAAATGATAACAAAAAAACCTTTTTTATTCGTTGCGTAGTACGGGCTGCTAGCGGGGCGGGAAGCAGCGACGGCTGGCATTCTGATCAGAGATTTGACCGTCCAAGCCTTACTATATCATTTAGGTAGAAACATTCATGTATCTATAGTTTTCACTATGCCATTAGATTTGCCTGATTAAAAACATATTTACTATCTACGTGCTGATCTGTTTATGTTGTATTAACGGCACGTAGCTCGTGCTGTATAGTGAAGCCACAAACCAATGAGCTGCCTATTTTTTCGTACAGGCTCGATCTTTGCATGTCTTTTTCCGCATCATGCAGAACCTCTTACGTAATAGCGCTTTGCCTAGTTTCTGCTAGGTTTCATTTTGAATGGTTCTTATTATAATATCGTAATTTTCTACTAGCTGCAACGTGGAGCAGTATCTCATCGTAAAAAACCGTATTAATGGTAAAAATCTCTCTGTCTAGCCGTATGAATAGCTCAGCGTGCAGTTGTTCCAGGTCCAGAGAGTCGTCATTGTAGCTCGACATGCGTAGCATTCCTCTTAACGTGCCCTCGCATTATTTGACCGTTTTTTTTTTATTTAAGATTGTGTTTGTCTATGCAACTATGGAGTATTATGCATACTCTTAGCAGTAACGTTTCGTATTGAGAAACACTGCTGATGGTATGAACGTAATCGTCTTAAAAAATAGATTTGTCCTTGTCTAGACAAACCTTCGTCTAGATTCCGCTACCTAATATAGAGACATTTCATTACACTGAGCAACGATAAGGGACTTCTGTTAAAAATATGGAATATACCTTAGAACTGTTACTGATACAATATTCGTCTTCACTAGACCCATAGCAGTTTTAATTATAATTTTAAGCTCGGTTTAATTATATACAAAGGTTAATTATGCGATCCTGCTGCGTTCGGTCTGTTTTCAGCGGTCCATTACTTCGACTGCCTGAGCTTTTCAGCTGCTGGCCTAAACCACATAACAACTATGTACACTTCAGATGTGCATAAGAAAGCTTTCTTGCATCATTGCAAGGTGAGCTATATTGGCATACTAAAAACACCCAGCTAATTAAATAATTCTAATACACCCTTTTTTCGTAGAGTACCCGATGTTAGAAATGAGCATCGTCGGAAAAATTGGCGAAATATTTAATGAACGTTACATAGTATGCCTAAAGAATCGTTTTAAACTAGCAGCTTGCGGTATGACAAACTTCAGGCATGCCTCTCGCAAGAACAACGGTCCGTAGACTTCACAGGCGTACGCTGCATATATACGTGATACCGAATACCTGATGACAATATAAACAATCTGTTTTCAGAAATGTAGAGGCAGTAAAGAGCGCAATTGTATTTGCCATCCTACACAGGCACTGAATGAATCCGAGACGAAATATGCCGAGTGATCCTGTCAGATCTCGAGCATGTGCCTGTAACCAAAAAACTTTTTTCCGCAGAAGACGTAGACCTTTCCCATATCACAGGTCAGCTTCCCTCAGAAGCGCAGTGATTTTTCGTATCTAGGTCCGTCTTACGTAGAAACGAATGGTTCGTTCATCGGTCAGTCACTCCTATTTCATTATTTCAGTCCACGAACGGCAGAGTCCCATTTCTACGTATATACACACCCACACAAAATGTTGTGCTTATGTGATGTCTCAGCTTCCATAAACGATTATTATAGCTATTTAATTCTTTTCTCTCGCTTTTAGCCTTACGGCACATATACACACCTACCCAAATAGTCGTAGCATCGCATGTGCCACCATCACGTGTGATACCATCACGTGTGGCAGAGTCGACATTCAACTCATACGCGAAAGCAACACATGAACTCACGAAGATGCGGTCACCTATATGAAGTATTCCATTGTTCTCAAGCATCAGATAGTCCCCTAATATTTGCCAGTACATACAATCATCATCCCAAACTTCTATGTAAAGGGGCACACAGTTTAAGGAATATGCCCCCGCCATTTCTCACTGCAGGCTATCGCTTTGACTGCCCGTCCTCTATCCTCGTCTTACGCCACTGAAAATGAAGCCGATGTGCCCCATATACGCACACTCGATCTTGAAAACTTACCAGTTAACCATTAGCAGACATCAAAAGCAGAAGAACTGTAGCAAGCTGAAAATTCATTCTTACTTAAACTGCTGTTCGCGGGAGCGTTAGTGATCCTTCTACGCTCGTGCACCAACGAGCAGATTCTTGTATGGGGATTTCAGCGAGCGAGGTGAAATCAGACAGCGTGGTATATCGTATACTTCGGTGACTTCGCCTACTTAGACCTGGTCATCCGCGGACAGTAGAAAACGAACGGTGATCGACGCTGACCATTCACGTGGCTCGCGTTGGTGCATGTGCGCGTGAGTGTTATCCACCTTGTTTGATTCTTCTGGCCCCATGCCCCCATTTTTGACCGAGCGATGGCTCATTCTTGGCGCATGTCGTCGTTGTCATTTTTATAACGCGCTGCTGCGGCAACCGGTGCCGATACTATTCTGTTCTGGTCTATCCATCGACGAAGACCCCTGCAGACTAAGTGTCGGAACGGACAATCTACTTCTACCTGACCGAAGATCCTGTCGCGGGCGGCTGCCAGGCAATCAGCTCACATCGACGGATGAGCGACCGAGCGAGCAACAAGCGGAGCTCAGCGAACACTGACCGTCATTGCCGCCCCAGCGGTAGCAGAAGGGAGCTTCGTCAATGGCTGCTGCAACAACGGCAGCTATTGCCGGTTGTTGAAGTTACTCAATTGCCCCAGCGTCGTATCGTGAGGAAAAAAGAAGGTAACAATGCCCAAGCTACTGTCGCGGTAGACGAACGTAGAAGGTTTAGCTGCCTCTTATTGATGCGTGCTTGCTTGGCCAGTTAGACAGATCGACGGCTGCTAGTGTCCTGTCTCTAAGCGTCTGCAACAGCGGTCTGTAGTTTCGGCAGCCTACCTTCATTTTTGCCGTTCGGGTTGTCTACCATCGTCGGCCGTCGAAACGACTGTAGACGACGGGAAGCCGAAGGAGATGGCCCAAGAGAAACGAAAGGGGACCAAGACCCAGAGACGGTACCGTTGTTGCTTTTGGTGCTGCAGTCAGACTGGGTGGGAAATCTATGATAAGAAAAGAGCCCACCAAAGACAAACGGCCAGACATAAAGAGAAAAAGAAGCAGAAACAGTTAGAAAGCGAGAGAGCGCATGAAAGCATTAGAGCAACAGAAAAAGCGAGTTTGGTGTCAGTTGTGTCGGATTGATATGGCTCTAATGTTCTTTGTTGGACGGCTTTTTAACTCTCTGGCTGGACCGACCGGTTGCCGCCTGCCTGCTACCAACTCACTTCTACGATGAAGCTGGTTTGGACCACACGCACAAAAGTGCCCGATTACTCGATCTACTGGTGCTGCGATTGTTGTTACCGTCGTTATTATTGCAGTAGAAGAAACAGTCAGTGGAAGAAAGGCGCACAGCGACGGCCAGGGACAAAGACAAAGGACAGAGAGCTATTGGAAGCTTACTCTGTGTGTTGGACTCGCCTGCTGATTCACTCATCGCTGAATTTCCAAAGAAGATGGCGATTGCGGTGCCGCTAGCGGAGAACCTTGATGATGAGAACGACGAAAAACACCAAGGAAAAACACAACGAAATAAAAGCACTAAACTCAAGTAGAAACGAGTGGGCATCAGGTAGCACTGATCATGGTGGCCAAACCCGAGTTCGCCGACTCAGTGTTGTCTATCTTCATCGCTGTGACCGCCATTGTTGTTGTTGTTGTTATCGTCGTCGTTATAATTTTGTTGTTGTTGTTGTTGTTGTTGGACTAGGTGAGAAAATGTGGTCGTTGTTGCTGCGGCTGCCGATAATGTTGACGACGGTGTCGGGTTGTCGGCTGGGCGACGAAGTTTGTCCAGCTTGTTGTTGCTGTTGCTAGCCGCCTGTTAGTTCGTTTCTCCTGTCGTTGTCCTAGTCATCGCGAGCAGTGGTAGAAATGGCGGTAGAAAAGCAGTGATGGAGCCGGCTACAGCGTCTATCTTGATGAGCAGGAATGGCCATCTACGTATGTGCCATCTTCAAATAGCGACAGTCACAACAACAACGATGCTGATTTCGCGGATTTCTGTAGTGGTAGCTCTTGTGGAAACGCACTGCTGTGGGCGAACGCACTTGCACTGCTGCTGACGGCGGCGTCTGCCTGGCTGGCAACCGACCGAGCGGCCGATAATCGGTCGGTCAGCCGTAGCTGCCTGTTGAAATTGCGAGCTGCTGCCGCTACCGTTGCCAGCCAAAGCCGTTGTTCTTCGTCGTCTTGGTTTTTTTCTGCTGCTGCGGCTATTTCTTCTACTTGGTCATCTCGTTCTTATCACGCATCTTCTTTCTCGTCGTTAGCGTCGTCGTAAACGCGGCCGTTACCATTTTCTCTGGCTCTTCTTCCCTACCGCTGCCATTGCAGGTACAGCTTTTTCTACCGTTGCTGGTAGAGTGGCGTAGTTCAGGCTGTCTTCAGCCGCTAACGGTGCAGCAAGGAGCGACCAGCAAGCTACCGCAACGGAGCTCGAGAGTTGCGGTCGAGACGCCGCTGACCTCCACCGTAGCCCCAGAGACGACGCGATCAAAATGCTATCAGAGTAAGCAATCACCCGCGGGAGCTGCCACATAAGCCGCGATCGGTTCCTCGGTCAATCCACTGGTCTCTTCGTGTAGGCACTTGCCAGCTCCGACTTTAACTTCTGCCTCACGCGGTAAAATACGCGCAGCGCGTCGATAACGACGACGCCAAAGTGAAGGCGGTTGAACAGGCAGAGCTAAGGGAACGATGAGCAAGCTAAAGGACGAGAAACAGACGCACGAGGCGACGCATAACAACAGCGACAGCTATAGCAACAGACGAAAACCGCATAACGCTGGTGGTTATTGTTTAGCTATCCGCTGTCGCTGCTATTTGCCGGCAGCTCTGCGTATTACTGTTGGAAATTCTGTCTGTTCTAACCGCTTTGGGTAGATGTACCGACCGGCATACAAAACAACCGTTTGTCAACTCCATAGGGTTTATCTCACTCGATTTCTTCCAGTGCTTTCTTACATTTTTCTTCTGTCGCAAGACAGAGCATCAGAAAAAGTTTAAGTAACAGTATGAATAGTAGTATTTCGTTGCCATAATTCTACAACAATGGAAATCATACTTTTGGCTACTGAATTTAAAGGCACCTGAGACGGTGTCTAGGTTCGACCCCGCACGTAGACGCGAGCTCTCTTAATCAATGCTTAATGGCAGTAGCATTGAACGTGAGAGCTCGAGCTGTAGTTGTGTTCTTAGAATTGCAATTCCAGTGCCGCTGCTACAGGCGGTTTGTATTGTCATCAGTTTCAATGAAGAGTTAGAACTAGCTCAGATCCAGGAGCAGCAACCGAAGCAGCAACAAACGCAAGTGATAGAGTAGAAACCTAACCGAGCTACAGTGATCATTGACCTGAGGATATTGTAATTTGCCGTTACTGGCGATCTTGCAGTGCCGTTCGGGAACTGCGCGCCGATCCTATAGAATTAAATTTCCGTTTCTGTCCACCATCCCCCCCGCTGTAACCGTAGTACATAGTTAGAATCGATTATTTCGAAAGAAGATCACTTCCTTCTACACTTTTCTCACGAATTAACTCTACTATGCATAGGAAACAGGGCTGGAATTATTGAGCAAGGGAAAAAAAGAAGGAAAAACAATGGCCGGCATTAAGTGAAAGATGGAAAAGCGTAACAGAAGGTTGCCCTCAACCATAGGCTCTGAAGGTCTTAGTCTACGTCACGCAAAAAAACCTGAACCCCACTAGTCACGTGGCTAGTGTCAGGTCTGCTATACCACAGACAAGCACAGTAAAAGCGCATAATATGCATGCAACCATTTCTACATTGTATCAAACATTTTGAATAGCTTTCCAATTATATGCTCTCTGACACAATGTGAGGGGCACATACTTCCCAAGGCAAAATATTTGATGCGGTGCGGAAAATTTCAGTATAGACTGCACAATTCGAAACTTACGGTACAGTATTCCAAGTAGCGAACGTTCAGTCAGGACAACTTCAAGTTGCTTGTCAACTAAACTTATTTCAACCTGGGAACTGTCTAGCTAATCATAATGAACTCGTGTCTTTCCTTAACATACAAATTCTATTTGTGAACAACTGATATTCCAATTCATTCTTAGAAACAACGAAGGAGTTCCACTGTTCGAGGATACAATATCAGTTCGCCTTCGCCTTCGCCTTCGTTTTCTGAATAAGGAAAATTACATTTTAACGCATTTTAATCTAGCAAAAAAATCACACCTGCTCGATTATTTGTATATATGTGTATACATGCTGAGTGCTGTCCTTTGTCAAAGAAATTCTTGCTAGACCTTTATCTATTCAACTGGACCCAGTTTATCTGTATCGTTATTGCTAAAACAAACCGAGAAAGGCCCTGTTCGAGGCGTTCCTTTGGCCAGCGATCTGGACACATCATGTTGAAGCAATCGGGCGCTCGTAAAGCCCCATTATCTGTAAAAAGAGACTCACAGCATCCGAGACAACTGACACTTACCTTACGTCACAATAATAGTTACAATTAGGTAAGTATCTGCATATATTTTTCTGCCTGTCAAATCGTGAAAGTGATGATAATAGTTGTCGTGTTTTCGGTACGTGTGTTAAGTTGTGGATGTCGAAACAGACGCGGTGTGGCGGTTTGGAAGGCCAAGTTCTTGACTGAAAGAGACTTGAGGTTGGCCTTTGACTCCCGCACGTAAGCGACATATAAATACAACGCACTATGCATAAATAATTTATTCCTGCTAATTTCTAATGAGGCAAGCGATATCTCGCACATACCGGTTTTGAGCATATGTATATATATATGTACATAAACATGCATCAACTGTGCAGTAAAGAAATCGTTCTACATGGGGCACATCCGTTTCCCAGACAGTAGCGATTTGTCGGGCCTAACATTGAAACTAGGCTCTAATATAGTTACAACTATCAAAAAGCAACTATACTTGTCCACGGCTAAGTTTTCTTCTTTTTCTGTTTGAGAGATGCTAACGATACCCTTACGCTAAAAGTAACCATTATCAGCCGCAAAGGTACGAGCTTGAGAGATATCGGCCTGTGACTCATGTATTCCACGCTCCCGCCATCTAATTCTGCACGTTGTACTCTGTTCCTTCTGGGTTCGCAATGACGAATTTGCCAAACACGCAGATGCATCAAGTGATTGGAAAAGCCACCTCACCCCTCTGGAGCAATTCCTCAAGAATAGCTATGGTGACTGTAAGAGTTTCGGCGATGGCGGCTTCACACAGAAGCTGTTTAGCGATCACATACCACAAGTGCCGAAAGAATAAAAGCAAGATCCAGCGTGCGCAAAGAAACCAATTGGTAACCACAGAGACACATACAATCCTAGGTAACCTCGAACCTGAAAAAAAGCTGACCTGAAGTGTCTGAAGCCCCCATTCAGAACATGCAAATGATGATGATGAAGGCTATGCGAAGCGACCATAAATAAGATGATGTTGAAATTTATTGTTTATCATTCACCCGGTGCAATGTGTATTGAATTATACGCAAGGTCTGTTTTGAGTCGTCTCTTTGTAACGCATTGGATAGATTTTGTTTTAGTATTCGGCCATGAGAACAGCGTTGATAGGGGTGCGACTTAATTTTGAAGTAATTCAGCAATAATCTTTATCAATGGCTTTGATAATATAAGCACACGTGCTTTATTGTACCTGCTATCCTCTCTGCGTTCGGTTTACGTATTACGCTATCTTACGATAAAGCTGTTGTTGTTGTTTTATATTGACGTTAACCTAAAAGTGATGCACAAAAAACGTATGAAGTTTAGCAAATCACGATTTTCTAGAATCGACTTGTGTGCAAAATCATATGTAATTATAAAAATGATAAATATAATTATTATCACTGTTATAGTTAATCCCGTCGTGGTTTTTTTATCATTCATTCAAGCTTTAGCTGTTCCTGGCTGCTTCTCAATGACTCGCTCGCTGGTTTCATTTCGGTTTTCTTCGGTACACGAATATTATTCATCAAATTATTTTTAAATATGTTTTCCTTTGCTTCCACAAAACTTACGCGTTTTTTCTTATCGTTTGCACTGGATGACTGACCAACTACAATAGGCGCTTGGTGGCAGCCCTGTCGGTGATGTTGTAACGCAACGGTTCCTCTCGTCGACGAACTAACATCTTCATTGTCGTCGTCTTTTGCTTCTAGCAACAGCTGCAACTGTCTTTATTGCTATTTGCGGACGAAGCCTGGACCAATCCTGGCGAGACTTCAACAGCTATTGGCTAGTTTTTTCCGTGATCACCGGCACAAGGGCTGCCATTGCGCTTCTCCTGCAGCCGCGTCGGCCCCTACTGATGATTGCGACGACGACGACGACGACGACGACCAAATCATTGAAAGGGTTAGGTTACGCGTGAAGCTCGTTTTCTTCAACGAACGGCTACCGCCAGCGACGGCTGAATCTGAAACCTCGATGAGTTTTTTGGTCAGCACGGGATCGAGCAGCTGTTGTGGCTATCGCAAATAGACCAGCAGCATTTGCCCGATAAAGGTCCAGCTACCTCAACAACGAAAAACGATTTCGGAAACAAAATCCCAATCCAAAAGGTAGTCAATAATAGCATGCATAAATGGGTCTCGGCGATGCCGAACGATGTTTGGCCAGTAACTGCTTAACAGGCCCGCCCATATACTACTAGTACAGCACGCCTTGGGTTCCTTAGTCAAATCCTTAACTAAGGGTCTATCGAAGAACCCACCGCACTTGTTTTAATAGCTAAAATAATCTGATAATCGTTACTGGCATACGCACAATATGAGTCCTTTTCCGCTAAGGGATTTGTGTCGTCCTTTTTAATATGACTTCTTATGGAGAGCAGCGAAGAAGAAGTTAAAAACCACGTAGTACTGATGATCTAAGACAGATTAGTACTTATTTTCGATATGTAAATGGTGCCTAAATAGGGAAAAGTTCAGTCCATAGATTGTCGTATAGGACAGAACTGTATGCCATGACACCTATGGATAGATCGATTCCCTTTGTACGGTCTTTGGTCATAGCTGGCGGCAAACGGTGATAGTTTTGACTTCCATGTGTTATTACTAGTATGTAGTCAACGGTTCGCCCTAAAAAACTGCAATCAGCTTCGAGCATACGCGATTGGTCTATAGTTTGTTGTTGACCTTCTCAGGCCGTTTCCGGCAACCTGGATAATGAGAACGTGCCGCTACTGTTAATTACGTACTTTAGAAAACACTTTGTATAGGCGTAATTAAAATAAACTTGAGATCTTACGTCTACGACGTTCACTGCCGATTCTCCTGTTGTCTAGTTACCAACTTGATAAACTGACGGAATTGTCTCGCCCGTGGTGTGATAGTATTCTGTGTGCACGTGTGTACGCTAGCAGTATTTATGCAATAGATAAGTTGGTGTATTTAGCGAGGTCTATATCGCTGTGTTCTATTTTGTGAATACAATATAGGGCTGTTCCTAAGTGTGGCAGGCTATTTTTGTTGAAGAATAAGACCAACCAACAGTAATGATGGACTTGCTGGTCAACCGATTGACTGTCCCGTCTAAATGTCTCTCATACTCGGTGTTTAACAGTGGCTGAGGCAGCGTTACTTGGCCATATACTAGGACACAATGGATATTTGTGTGCAGATGCACATGTGTGCCAGTCTCTCTGATATGATTTCTTCTTCTTCTGTTGCCACTACCGCTGCTGGTGGTGGTACTGTCCCTGATATTATGCTGGCTTATAGATAATACGGATTAAAAGAAACGAAATATTGTTCCGTCGCTGCCGTGTAGCTAGCGACGCGGTAAATGAGGTTTTAATGACAGTTTCACGCGGCAGTGTTTCAAACATTCGCACAGGTACGCGTTAGCGCACCAAGAAATAAATGCTAGAAAGGTCGTTCCTTAAGTGAATTTGTTTAAAAATAGACTAGACAGAGATAGATGGCAAAGCTAAAACTATCGAAAGTAGTAATAATTACAGGAAACGGTATGACAAAACGCCAGAAATTTAGTGATACTGGGGACGGTCGATAATTCTATACGTTAACTAACAAGCAGTAAAGATAGCCTGTTGCAGACACCAGAAATACCATTATATTTTTTCAGTTGTAATCTAAAGTAAATGCCCTCCCGTCATACTTTCGCGCTCAAAGGCGAACATCATACAGGTACGGTTATCAACGACGATTGCAGAACCGTGCTGCAATAGAGATTCGTTAAGTAAACGACCTTGTATCGTTTACAGTCACTCTCGTAGAATGGATGTCATTACATGGCCATACGAGATGGCTTCCAAGTAATCCCCGCTTCCGTATGTCCTATGAAGTCATCAGAAGTTAGAATCATCCGCTGTAGGTGCAATAGACCAAGCCTAGTCTACCTTTTACCATAACCTGTCGACCCAGGAGGTAGGAATTATTAAATGTAGTGAATTCAGTTCCACTTAAACCAGTTTACGACCTTCTATCCGCTTCATCGAAGATCCAAAAGTATTTCGGTTAGAGTTACTAACGTTGATAAGGTGTCGAGTTCAGTAACTGTTGTTGTTTTTGTTTTTCCTTGTCATTGTGGTACGCTAGATGTGTTGTGGTGGAACTGAAGCGTGGAGTCTTGCGTGACGCCAGTCTATTCAAACCGGTACGTACGTTTGAGTAGCATTTATTGAGCCTAGAAACTTTGCCGTCTTACACTACGTGTATAGCTTTATCGACCTATAATGGAGGCAGCCACAATCGATGCACACGAGCCTATTATCACATTGTGACAAGTACGCCCTATTTGTGTCGCCGCTGTTATCGCAATTACCGCAGCTGATACTTCCCTACATCATGTTCTGTGTTCCATATTCTACTTTTCCGTAACTTTTCGCGTTGGTGAGTGATTAGGTCATTGTTCAACCAATAAGCTGAAATACTTTACGTAGAAAGGCACTGTAAGGCCACATGGATATCTGCTTGCTCATTGAAGGGCATTACGTGTTACTGCATCGGTCCTCAACCATTGTAGTATGCATTTACTAGGAGATATCGTAGATTCTGTTAGGCAAAAGCTGGCCATCAATAGCAAAAAGCCTTGATTCATCGTAGGGAAAAACCGTGTTGATATCGAACACCGGCGGCGAAATCCCTTCGTGCTGAAATCACTGTTCGATGCGACCGTTCAATGGGCGTAAGTGGGGCTTGCAGCGACCTACATACATTGGTGCGTGTAAATCTTTGTGAAAAGGATCATTCGAGGTCTCTAGAAAGAAAGCGCCGCGGTAAGCCTAGGAAGTTCACAGGGGTTTCTCACAGTGCTGCTGAGAGGGCAGTCGAGATTACCGCTCTGATTATGAAATGGAGGATCGTCGAAGCGTTACCGGCTATTGCCATTACGACGGCTCGCGCAAGATGACTAGCCGCGAGGATCGTGCGGTCTGCGAGTATCTCTGCCAGCACCGACGCGCCATGACCACTACCGCCTGTCGCTGAGAAATTCGAGAAAAGAGCGAAGTGAAATATAAAACTTCAGCCACACCGTACGCCATGTTTGGCGATTGTGTTCGCGCCGTCGCTGTTTTTGAGCTCTAAAGTGGCTCCCTCGTGTTTTTTTTTATACTGACCCAGTGGAATTCCAGTGACGTGATATTCCATTCGAATATCGTCGTCATTCTAACAAATGGAGGTTGCAAGGCCGGCAAATTAAGCCTAATTTAGGTATGGCTAGGTGGATAGGTAAAACACACATTTGCCACTTCGTTGTATTCTGTCTTGTTCATGTATATATACCTTCTTTCTTTGTATATATATATATATATATATATATATATATATATAGAATAACTAAACGCTACCCGTAGGCAATACGTTTCATCGCGCAGATCTTGTGCGAATTCTGTAAAATCTAGAGAGTTCAGCCAGCGCTGTATTCACTTCCAACCGCTGTTGCTACTGCGGCTGTGTCACCTTTCGTACGCAGCTACACGACGGTGTTATTCTAAATCATCATTTTCCTTATTGGCAACGGCGGCGCCGGTGGCGGTCGTTCACTGCTACAAAACGGACCAACTGCTTTTTCGGAGCGAAGGACTTTGGGTTCTATAAAAATATACCACTGCCAGTGTTCCTATTAAAAGTATAGAAGGGAAAACGGGCCTTCGCTGCAGTAGGTACTTGCGCCTGTGTCACTGCATTAGGCTCGTGTCCACCACGCTGCCGTCCCGAAGACACAAGCTAACTCATTTTTATGGAAAATGCGCAAGAATACTATCCCTTAAAAAGTTGGCTGGCAAATACTTTATAACAATCTTTCCGGTTCATGCTATCGTCGAGCCCGTTGAAGCCCCTTCGTGCAATAGGAAAATCTTCGAACATGGCTTAAAACTGAATCTGCAGACAGGAGTAAGCTCCAGTGCTCCTCGATTCCGTCGGGCCAAAATAAAGCCACACTGGCCACTGTGCGAAAGGCATCTAGCAACAATACAAATCGTCAGCGCGCGAAAAACATCTCCCCTCTTCTAGAGTGGCTGATTTGTAATCTTCTCCATTGCTGCTTATCAAGCTTGACAAACACCTATTAGACAAAGAAGTTTTATTATTTAGCGTTGTGGCAAGGCCTCTGTAGAACTATAGTAATACAATAAAACAGCAGTTTTCTGCTGCAAACATTGATCCGCGACTTTTTCTATAGGGTGCGTCCTTACGGCTGCGCCGGTGAGACGGTCTACACATGAAACATGCAGGGGAGGCAAAATTACCTTTATGCTAAGTAAATATTAATTGACTCAGCAAATTGATAAGAGCTCTTTACAGTACCTTTTATGCGCTTTATCCTGGCGCTGTCCTGGAAAGATTGCAACTTCTCCCTAAAACACTAGATTAGGCGTTGCAGTCCATTAACGCCTTTAAGGCTACTGTTATAAAACGACTGTCAAATAACGCGACAGTATCTCCGGTAATGTTTTATCAAAGGGAAAATTAACGTTATACCATTTCGGATATTAGTATTTTCGCAACTCCAACTAAGTAAAATATGGTCTCCTGTTCACTCGTTTCGATACCAGATTCTGCCAGATTCTGTATAGAAATTAGTATAGTAATTTGCTAACTTTTTTCTATCACTTTGAGTAAGGATAAGATCCTCCCTCTATATTGGATAAACAGTCGAGTGCTTTAACCGACACAAGGATAAGAGACCTTCTCATTAGTATTCCCCTACTAATAGAAAATGTATACTTGTTACACGGGTTTTCTGTCTGACCGTCTGGCCTGAGTAGCATTCCGTGTACAGCAGAAGCTCGAAATTGTTCTGCGCTCGATTTGCGTTGTCTAAGGAGCATGGCACACGACCCGCTTAGTTCAAACGCGGTATTCGCAGCCTGCATTGAAGGCAAACGCTATACAAGCAAAACAGTATATGTAATATTGCCTTTTTTCTTTTCTTTAGCTTGCGAGTCGAGACGATTGGATCAACCTAATTGACGGCACGCGTTAAGTAACGTGTTGTATGAATGTATGTACATCTGTATAGTGTTCCGCACTCGAAAGAGGCCAAATGAATACCGAAAACAACATTAGACAAACCATATCTATGTCGATGTAGATTGCCGCTACCTTCTCTGCGTCTTGAACATAGCTCCCTGTACCCTTACAGACATAGACAAACTTCCGGAGAGTAAAGGTGCGATATATTTTACGATAGGGAAAGAGTCGTAGGACCGTAATACTTCGCAGGAGAAGTTGTTAGCTATTGCCTTCAACTCTGCTGCCGACCTATAGGCTGAACCTGCTAAACCGATAGGTCACTATTTATCTAACAGGAAGTGTAGAACTTCTGCATATGGCTATTATTAATCTGTATATCGTCTTAATATTTCATATCACATAATTTGCTAATTGATAGATAGATAGATATAGAAAAAAGGATGCTTTTTTTCCTAGCACTAAGTGCACAATCCAGGAAATCCTGCACAATTCGAAGGCAGATACACTTCAGTATCTGATTTCATCGATGTAGATTAAGTTACTACTTATTTATCCCTCTATTTGTCATACAACATTTACTGTAAAGAAATAGTTATTAAAAATTTTTGAAGAGAATGATGATTATTTACGAAAAAATATTCCCGTAATCAATGCTGAAAGCTAGACGTGTCAGGCAATGCCGGATGACTTAAATACTGAGCTTCTCAGAACGTTTCATTCAATTGCGACGAAGACATTTATTAATTCAAGGCAAGTCTGATATAGGGTCCGATTGGCTATCGATCAGATGATCGGCAAATAGAACATCCATAAAAAGTGAAATATCGACAGTGCCAAACGTCGGTTCTATGCTACCACGCGGCTTTCCTACGGAAAAAAAACCTTGTTCCATCAGTGTTTGTGTGTACGGATAATACTCTACACTGTGCATTATACATAGACATGACGTGAACTCTACCGGCAGTCGGTAAAAATACTATTTCAAAGCTCATATTTTACTATATTTCCGTATCTCAATACTTTTTCATTGTTTATTCTATAGCACTTCCGTACACAGTTGTTTTTTGAGCTCATTGGTCAGCTTATGTGTTCTGCTATGCATTGAATAACATCTATTTGCCACATGTACTACTGATAACGCAAAACGACATAGCTTTTAATGCCAGCTATAGTTGAGGAGAGGCGCGCGATCCAACGAAGAACTTGCTACCTACATAGAGACGCGTGTCGTACACTTTTCTACCACCCGAAAATCCACGTCTTGCCTTTGTTTGTACTTGGCGGTATGGCATTCACTAGTGATGCAGCTGCTGATGCTGTTTTAAAAGCACGCGTCCGTTGGTAACGTTACCTATGGTCGATGACGCCGATGCTGTTGACCTGCCGGTACGACTGCAATTGCATACAACACAATGAACGTCAGCCACCATTACTACATCTAGTAGCAGCGTTCACACCTTCGACACGGTTACTATTGCTCTGGGGCCATCGATCTTTTTCCCTCAGCGTCAAATGCGGCGGATACCATGGACGGATCAGCGCCAGGCGGACAAGCCTCAACGTGGTCCGTTCCCACAGAGGCTACGGCCGATCATGATGGTGACGCTAGTGATGATTATTATGGTGGTCGTGGTGATGGCGTCGATGATGATGGTACCGGTGATGGTGATGATGATGCCGCCAGCATCCGTAGCGGCCGCCGCCGGTACCGTATCTGGCAACGGCTTGAGCTATTGCTGGTTTTTCTACAAGCGCTTTACCGTGCGTTTCTCAAATAACGATTCTGTTCGTTTGCGGTGATTCATTCCACACAACAACCCATTCGTTCGTTGCTTCGTACGAACAACCCGTGCTCGTCCGGACTGCTGGCCGTTCCGTCAGTCATCGCTTGCTGCTTGAGCTCGCTGCTTGGTACTTATCTGGCTGATGCCACGGACGATGTTATTTGTATGTTCCATCTGACCTGGCAAAATGTTTATTCTGTGCGGTGTGGCCAACGGCTGACGGATCGAACAGGCAGGCAGGCAGGCAGAGAGCCATCCAACTAGAAAGGCTGCCAGCGAGGAAGCAACGGTAGAGGCATCGCTCAGCAATCTGTCGAAAGGCCGTAGCCACGACTGCCAGTGAATACTATTACGTAGAGCAGCAGTACTCGAGCGAGCATCCGCCAAGAAT